ATGGGGTTTGCATATTTTAAAATTTAAAATTTTAAAACTTTTGGATAATGTTGCATTTTAATAATCACTGTTTTATCCTTTATAATGATTGTTTTTATCTGTCATTTTGTTCAATTGTTGTACGCCGTCTAGAGTCACTTTGTGTGAGATGGGCAACTATATAAATGTGATATATAAATAAATAAATAAAATAATACCGCCCCTACTAAAAATCCACCATGATAATATGCAACAGATCAAAAACAGAACAATAACACTATACAAACAGTGAAAACGAACAGCAAAATTAATATACAATGAAATGTATAAACTGTTGCTGAAATTTGAAATGGAGGATGAACAAGTGAAAGAATGATAAAATGGGCTAAGAATTTTGGATATAACATATTGTTGGAACAATGAGAAAATATATGGTTAAAAGGATTGAAATTCACATTAAATTATAACCTAAAAGAGATTTTTTACAAAATGATGAACCATTGGTATATGACTCCAGAAAAATTATCTAGAATGTATAAAGGTACCTCAAATTTGTGTTGGAAATGTGAACAACATGAAGGGTCATTTTATCATGTTTGATGGATTTGTGGAGCCACCAGAAAATTTTGGTTTCAAATACATAAACTGATAGGATTTTAAAGACTAAAATTCAACTGAAACTAGAACTTTTTTGTTGGGATTAATGGGAAGACAACTAGAAAAAAGCCATGGAATATTATTTCTGTATTTGATCACTGCTATGACACAATTATATGCACAAAAATGGAAAGATTCTGAAATACCCAAAATGAAGGAATGGTTGGTGAAGATGATGGACTAACAGAGATGGCAAAATTAACTTGTTTGCTTAGAGAAAGATCAACTACTACATTTATTAGTGACTGGAAGCTCCTTATGGACTTTTTGCTGAAAAAAGAAAAATATGGACTGATGATTTATAGATTAGCTAATTAGGGTAGATTATAGAAAGAAGGAAACTTAAATGTAACCTTTGAGAGAGAGGGTAAAATATAAATATAACTGCTGTTAAGAAGATTGAAGCCCCTCCTTT